ATATATATACATAAAACAGTGAAGATTGAATTTCAATAAAGATTGAATTTCATTGATGTTTCTGCTTGTGCTATATTAAGGGTATTTGATCCTGCAGTCCAAAAAATTTTTAATACATTTTGTTCTCTTTTTAGAGTTCTGTAGTAGCACTTTCCTTACACTTAAAGTTAAATAATTTTGCATTTTTTGCTTACAGTCATCTCTGCGTGCATTTATTACTAGTCATAATTTGTAAGAAAATTTGAGGAAGGATAAGTAAAAACACTATAATAATAAAACCAAAAATATATATATATATCAAAGCATGAAAAGCAACAGGAAAAGTAAAAGTCTTTTTTTTTCTTCTTTCCCAGATCTCTTTTCTGCTATTAAGCTATTTTCCTGTTTTACTTTAAGAAGTATTTTCTAAAATTCATGTACCAACTCCATTACTTTTCATTGTATGCATAGTAGTGGTTTAGCTTCTTTAGCTTGTCTGTTTTACCAAATAATGCATAGTAAAACTTGCTAAAACTTTTGTAGTTAATGTTGTATATTTAAGTTGCAAATTTCACATTTTAAAGCAAAGCCTTAGGAGCAGGAATGCCTCAAACCTAAGATCTATGGAAAAGCTAGTCAAGGCCTACACTAAACAAACACCAATTTAGAGCTCTGTATGTGTGTTTATGTAGATGTATGCTTTTTAGTAAATGATTTATTAATGGTAGAAGGATAGAGGGATAAGTATGATCATTACACTCTTTAATGGAAAAATAATGTTAGAATTTATTAATAAAGATTCAAGTTCAACTTTGACAGAATTAAGAAGGTGACATTACAGTTCATAATCTCATTTTCAGTGGCAGCCTCCCATCTTCATGCTTCCTATTGAAGTCCATGGTACACCTCATTTTATAAAGAAAAAAATGTCTTCAGTGAGAGAAACTTTTGCATTATAACCTCTCAGGCCATTTCAGTGAAGACTTGAGATATATACTAAGTTGCCACTGGCATGAATTGAATCAGTTGTTGGGCTGTATTCTTTAGTCTTGATAAAATCGAAGGAGAAAGAGAGTTCGATATGTGAGCTATAGGTTTCTTTGGTCATTAGTGTCCATAAAAAGGATTAGTTGTAGGAGTACAAAAAAGGAACTTGTTGTAAGATCCCATTTTGAGACCCTAAAGATTTCCATAAAGGAATATGCTAATATGACCATAGTATTCTTAAATTGCTTGATGACATCTCAATCTATCTAATAAAAAGTATCATAATTTCTGTCTTTAAAACTTCTTTTAATAATTTTCTCTTTAAATTGCTAGTAACATTTTTCTGCTTAGGTAATCGTGTTGTAGGTAATTACATTAACAGTAATAAAATGAGTTTACAAAAATAGAAATTAATTCTCTCTGCAAAGAAGGGCAAATAAGTATTTAGTGTGATAACCGTATGCCACAATAATGGGTGATTATGGGGAGTAGAAATATAGCTTAAAAGATTTAAAGATTTTTTTCATATGAATATATAACAATTGCTGAGTGACCAGGTTGGCTTGATATATATAAGTAAATATATGTGTGTATATATAGAGAGAAATGTAGTCATGATTAATTAGAAATATAATACCATCTTTTTGTTTAATATAGTTAATCTAAAACTCCAGTAAAACTAGCTAATATTGCCTAGATACTTCCTTTCACATGCCCCTAAATTGGTCAACGATTTCTGACCCAGAAATATTTCTGCAAAAAAATTTATTATGTTAAAGTTGTTTTATTGGGCTTTCATCAAGGTTTGTTATTGAGTGTTTGTATAATTGTGAGTGGGAGGAATTACAGCATTTTGTTTTAACTTGTCTTACAAACAAATTAGGAGGTTGAAAGAATGTCCTTGTGCTGGATAAAAATGCTTTGAGGATAATACTACCTAATGAGTTTTATATAATTATTCTTAAATGTAATTTTAAACCATTGATTTTATAATTTTTAGCTGCTTCTGGTATACAACCAGCAGTTACATAATAGAAATTGGCAGAAGGGATCAGTTCTTCAGATTATTTAGATTCATAAGTATAATCATTGAAAGATTAATTAAATACTACTAAACTCCCTATGTATATTTTCTGTCAAATTTGCTCTAGAGCAGTTAGATCATAACTTCATTTTAATGTCATATAGGACCCTATTTAAGTCATTATATAGCTAGCTTTGATATTATAGTTTACTTTGATAAATAATAAAATATTCTAAATAAAGGTGAATTTTACATATTTAGGAAAGTTGACTTGTATCTTCTCAGAATTATTTTCAGTAGTATTAGTGATAGCAAATTTCATTATACTTGTTTCCTGTAGTGTTATTTGTCTCAGTTTTTCATAGATTTTCAAGATTGATAGTTTGAGTTTATGTTTCCGTTTTAAAAATTAGCTCATGAATTTTAGATGTTTTGATATGTTGAGTTGTTTTGTATTACAATATTATAATGACTTCATGTGTTTTCCCCTTGCATTTTAAGATTAAAATTTGCTTTCAAAACATGTTAGAAATGATACTGAGAATTAATTGCGTATATCTGTTAGAGCAAAATACTTATATAATAGTATAGTTATTCCTAATTATGACAGAGTTTGATTTTAATTAGAGTATCAGAAATTTAAAGTTCTGTAGTTAGTCAATATACATTAGTTATTTTAGAGTATCATGGTAAATAAAAGGGAAGTTAAAGAATCATATTAAGAGTTTGAAAGCTGGAAGGCATTCTGAAGATCACATAGATTAACTTTTTACAGAAAGGAAACTGACATTGTTGGTAGTAGAACTGCCCTTTTCCTATACCATTACTGGTACTGGAGGAATCTGTGCAATCTGAGACTTGGTTTCAGTAAACCAAAACACACTGGTGTTCTGTAAACGATTTTAGTGCTTGTATTAATTTTTAGCAGTGACTAGAATACTTGGCACTCTAAGCAAATAAGATACAAAGCAAAAGGATTTTGCGGCATTTCAAAAATACTATAGTTATAATTGCACCAAAGTGATAAGTGATTTAAATAGAATACCTTTTGTGTCCCACCTCCTATGCTGGAATAATATATCTAGTGCACATTTGATTTGTGGAAGATATGTTGCATTTCCTAAATAAACATTTGTTTTTATTGCTACTCAGTAGTAGTTTTTGAATGGAGCAAATAGGAGGGAAGTGGGAAAATAAAAATTATATTACTGAATATTTTAACTGTTAAGTGCTTACATTTCCCCCACAATATTGTCTTGTACTGTATGATTTTTCAGCATTTAAGAAGCGGTTTTGTTCTTTATAGCTGAACCAATTACGTTTCCATCTGGAGGAGGCAAGTCATTTATTATGGGTTCTGATGATGTTTTGTTAAGTGTACTGGGCCTTGGAGACCTTGCAGACTTGACGGTAACAAATGATGCAGACTATAGTTATGATGTAAGTGCAGTTTTATTTTTAATTTTTTAATGATTTAATAGAAGGCTCCTTATTTTTTGGAAACACTTGTAAAACAGAATTAATGTCAAGGTGCATGGAAAAGATAAGTTTAAGTGTGTCAATATGTTGATTTGAAGTGGCATGTAGATTTTCTCTTGCAACTACTTTCTTTGTGGTGTTTATAAAGTTTTCTTAGGTATTGTGGTGGAGTAGCAAAGAGTTTGGGATAATTGTCTTAAAATATTGGTTGATAAATATTTATATTCAGTAGTCAACTCTCAATTATCTACTTAAATTAATCCATATTGGTGTTAAAAAAGAAGAATAGATGACCTGAATCACTTATTTGCCTTCAGGATACTTCTTAAAAAACAAGTTTTAATTTTGAATTTTTATTCATTAAGGATAATATTCAAGTTAGCTTTCCATTTCCGGAATACTTAGTCCTTCATTTGAGGGATGGGAGAGGATGGAGGGGGATGGGAGGAGAGTGTTAGAGGTAAAGCTAGTCTTGGATTAAATTTTTTTTATAGATAATAAACACTCAATTGAGAGTTAACTATACTTGTTTAGATTTTATATTAAAGAATTTGCCATTTTTCAGCAAATTATTTTCCTTTTATAATGAATTACTTTTTTCTACATTGTATATTTATGTTAGCATGCTTTTTAGAAACATCAGCCTTGTTGGGCTGGATTATTCACATTAATATTTTAAAAATACACAAGGAAGAAAATTCTAGTAAACTTTTGACTACTTGACAAGTGGCATCTTTACAGATGGAGAAAGGAAGGTAAAATGATTAACCTCTTTATCAGTATCAATAATGATAATGAAAATACTCTTAAAGTGTCTTTAGTTCAGACTTTTGTAAAGTACCTTACTTGCTGCCTTCTTAAAATTTCACATGCTAAGTTTCTAAATAACTGTACTGTTAATACTGTACCCTTGGATTTTTGGTAGTTAATGTAATTTTTACTGTTTTCATGTAAAGTATTGCAGCATGGTAGTTTTTGGTTCTCATCTGATGTTTAATAGGACCTTTGGGTTTAGCCTGTTTAGGTTTTAAGGAATCATATTAAATCGTATTAAGGAACTCTTCATTTGATCTACGTATTTAAAAGCTAAGGAAATTGTTCTTAGTTCTTAGTAAATAAAGATTTGTTATAAAATTTTTAGGGTATGTTAAATTTCCACTGGACATTTTAGGAAAGCAGTTTTAACTATATTTTAGACACCTCAAAACAAGCAAAAACTCCGCATGCCTATCAATTTACTACTTTTACCACTAGGTATTGTGCTCTTTCTTTTTAGTTGCCTGCCAATAAAGATGCCTTTCGAAAGACATGGAACCCCAAGTATACACTGCGTAGCCATTTTGATGGAGTGCGGGCATTAGCTTTTCATCCTGTAGAACCTGTGCTGGTTACTGCCTCTGAGGACCATACTCTGAAACTTTGGAACTTGCAAAAAACAGTTCCTGCCAAAAAGCAAGTATTTTAATGTTAGCCTGCATTTTTTTTCCTTCTAAACTTGCTAATAATTATAAGTAATTATTCTTCTTTATGGTCCATATCTTTTATTCACTCAGCTTATCTTATTTATAAACTCAGAAATCAACCAGTGATTTGCAGTTATTTAATTGCGTTTTCCCTCCTCTTTTAGGAGTGCCTCTTTAGACGTAGAGCCTATCTACACATTTAGGGCCCACATGTAAGTTTTATTGAATTAATACTTAATTAACAACTGTAGTTATTGTTAACCATTCTCTGTCAATCCTCAAACCTTATAATTTTCTCATGTTTGTTTTATATTAGAAAAGACATTAGTTGAATAGTATTTCATTTGATTAATAATTGTATTAGTGAAAATACAGTCAGTACTGTTCAAATGTATGTGTTTACCTTAAATTGAATAAATAAAGATTTGTTATAAAATTTTTAGGGTATGTTAAATTTCCACTGGACATTTTAGGAAAGCAGTTTTAACTATATTTTAGACACCTCAAAACAAGCAAAAACTCCGCATGCCTATCAATTTACTACTTTTACCACTAGGTATTGTGCTCTTTCTTTTTAGTTGCCTGCCAATAAAGATGCCTTTCGAAAGACATGGAACCCCAAGTATACACTGCGTAGCCATTTTGATGGAGTGCGGGCATTAGCTTTTCATCCTGTAGAACCTGTGCTGGTTACTGCCTCTGAGGACCATACTCTGAAACTTTGGAACTTGCAAAAAACAGTTCCTGCCAAAAAGCAAGTATTTTAATGTTAGCCTGCATTTTTTTTCCTTCTAAACTTGCTAATAATTATAAGTAATTATTCTTCCTTATGGTCCATATCTTTTATTCACTCAGCTTATCTTATTTATAAACTCAGAAATCAACCAGTGATTTGCAGTTATTTAATTGCGTTTTCCCTCCTCTTTTAGGAGTGCCTCTTTAGACGTAGAGCCTATCTACACATTTAGGGCCCACATGTAAGTTTTATTGAATTAATACTTAATTAACAACTGTAGTTATTGTTAACCATTCTCTGTCAATCCTCAAACCTTATAATTTTCTCATGTTTGTTTTATATTAGAAAAGACATTAGTTGAATAGTATTTCATTTGATTAATAATTGTATTAGTGAAAATACAGTCAGTACTGTTCAAATGTATGTGTTTACCTTAAATTGAAAGGTTGGGGGGGGGATGTGGATGGGAGTTTCCTTTAAGTCTTTACAAGTAATTTTTTTCCCTCTTTTCCCTATAATAGTGGTCCTGTTCTATCATTAGCTATTAGTTCTAATGGAGACCAGTGTTTTAGTGGTGGTATTGATGCAACCATCCAGTGGTGGAATATGCCTAGCCCTAATGTGGATCCGTATGACACATATGGTAAGCAGAAAGCTCAAAACTTGTTTGTTTTTTAAGTGAATGGAGTGACAAAAATACCTCAAATACTGTTACAAGGTTGTTTAAACATGTATTGGTCTCCTCATTTAGTTCTTCTATTTACTAGTAATTTGCTTTATTAAAGAGAAAAATTAATAAATATCATGCCATGAATATTTAATTTTGTGAATTGGTATTTTCTCCCATGTCCAAAAATTTTTAAAACTATATTAATTAAAACATTAATTACAGTGCTAGTACAAAAAGAAGATAACGAAATATAATATAAGCAATAGGTTTTTAAACATAAAAAATTAATTTATTAGTTGAAAATAGATGACAGTAGGAGCAAATAAGGATACTAAGGGCATAAATCAGTACTATTTAGAGGCTAAATATTCCTTACTTTAAAAAATCTTATGCACAAGTGCCACTTTTAGAATGTGTCCTGCAGAAATACCAATATACATGTATTCAGATATGTTTACAAGGGAATTGTTCGTAATTATAAAAAGTTGAAATGAATGTTTATTAGTATGAGTGGTTAAATACTAATCTCTTTGGTTCATTTAAAAAGAATTCAAGAGCTCTTTGATCTTTTTTTAAACACCCACTTGGTGGCTAAATTTACCAAATGCAGTGTTAAGCACTGCATCAGGAAATAAGAATTAGTCTGATAGAAAAGATAGAGATTAAGAAGATAAACAAGGAGATGAGTTTATGGTTACAAATTGTGATAACTGGTATAAAGATAGAGTATTCTGAGAGTAGCAGGCAGAATCTTCTTTAGTTGTAGTCTGAAATAGTAACATTTAATCCCAGACTAAAGGGTAAAAGGGAACTTCATTGGTAAATAGTTTTAAGCCAGAAAATGACCTATAAATGTAGTTAAAAAGGTGACACTGGCTGATGCAAGGAGAATAGATTGGGGATGGGAGGACTGGAGAAAGGACTATCAGTGTAGGTCGTGATGTGGTGGCCCAGTAGACCAGGTGAGAAATGATGTCGCCAGGATTAGTGATGGTGGAGCAGTTGGCAAGAAATAGATTTAACAAATCATGGGCGAGGTAGGGTAGAGTAAATAGAATCTATTGATAAATTGGATTGAGTGGATAAAGTGATGGATGAGTGACTTGAGTTTGTTTTCTTAACAGCTTTATTAAGATAGAATTCACATAAAACCATTTTGAAGGACATAGTTTAGTAGTTTTACAGTTATCACAGGCTTGTGCAACCGTTACCACATCTAATTCAGAACATTTTCATGATCACTCCTACATTTTTGAAATAGCAGTTGAGTATATGATGGTAACAATAAAATGGGGGCAGAGCAAGTGTGAAAAGATAGAAGTTTGTTTTTTAGGCATCTTAAAGAGAAGGTGTTATCAAGAAGGTAATTTCAATATCAAGATGTGATCAAGATCAAGGTGGTGTAACATAGGGAGAATATATTGGGTAGAGTAAGAAGAGAAGGCAAAGCCTCGAGGAACTAAATAAGCATATTTACCCAATATCCTTTTCTACTCTTCGGTGGAAGGTTGATGAAGGCTTTTTGTTTAGGTTGAGAGATGGTGGAGCATATTTGTTTGCTGTGGTAATGATGTCAAAGAGGAGTTTTACAGTAAGGAAACTGTAAACATGAAAGCAAATTAGTAAATTGAATGGAATCCCAAATACACTTTGAGAGAAAGGAGGACCATTCCTTACTTGCATTTGGAAGCAAGGATAAGGTGGTTTTAGACATGAGTGATATATAGATTAGGTACAGGAAGATGGGACAGAGGGCTTCCTATTTCAGTGCTTTCTCAGTGAAGTATAACAGATAAAAACCATTCCTGATGAAGGGAAGTTGGAAACTGTGAGAATTGTGGAGATGATAAGAAATATCCATGGAAAGTGAGAGGTTACTAAAGAAACAGGATTGTAGGACAAAAAATGCACAGTGTTGTTAGCAACCATGTCCATCAAATGATAAATGGATAAATAAAATATAGTTTATCCATACAATAGAATATTATCAGCATTTTAAAAGAAATGAAATACTGATACATGCTAAAAAATGGGTGAACCTTGGAAACATTATGCTAATAGAAAGAAGCCAGTCACGAAAGGTCATTTGTATGAAATGTCCAGAATAGACAAATTTATAGAAATAAAGTAAATTAGTGGTTTTTTAAGGCTGCAGAAAAGCCGAAAGTGAATAGTGGGAGAAAATGGCTAATGAGTGATGAAAATGCCCTGAAACTGATAAGGTGATGATCGTACAGTTCTGTGAATGTTAAAAGCCATTGAATTGTACACTTTAAATTGGTGAGTTGTGTAGGAATTACATCTCAGTAAAGCTGTATAAAAAAGTATATGTTCCTTATAGAAAATTGCAAACATACGGAAAGTATTGTGGGAGAAAAAAATAACCCCATAACTCCAGAACTTAGAGATAGCCACTGTTTACACTTTGGTCTCTATTCTGTGGCCGTTTTCTGTAGTCTTTACACTTAATTACATGATAAGTTATCTTTATGTAACAAAGCATTTGTTTTAAACTTCTTTTAACTAATTTTTGTTTGTTTGTTTCTTCCCAGAGCCAAATGTTCTAGCTGGCACTTTAGTTGCTCATACAGATGCCGTCTGGGGTCTTGCTTATAGTGGCATAAAAAATCAATTACTGTCTTGTTCAGCAGATGGCACCGTTAGGTTATGGAATCCACAAGAAAAATTGCCTTGTATTTGCACTTACAATGGAGACAAGGGTAAGTGAATTTTTCCTTTACAAGAGAAGCTGTGTATTTTTTAAATTTGGAAGATAAAAAGGACAAAACTTGGTGGCTAAATTTACCAAATGCAGTGTTAAGCACTGCATCAGGAAATAAGAATTAGTCTGATAGAAAAGATAGAGATTAAGAAGATAAACAAGGAGATGAGTTTATGGTTACAAATTGTGATAACTGGTATAAAGATAGAGTATTCTGAGAGTAGCAGGCAGAATCTTCTTTAGTTGTAGTCTGAAATAGTAACATTTAATCCCAGACTAAAGGGTAAAAGGGAACTTCATTGGTAAATAGTTTTAAGCCAGAAAATGACCTATAAATGTAGTTAAAAAGGTGACACTGGCTGATGCAAGGAGAATAGATTGGGGATGGGAGGACTGGAGAAAGGACTATCAGTGTAGGTCGTGATGTGGTGGCCCAGTAGACCAGGTGAGAAATGATGTCGCCAGGATTAGTGATGGTGGAGCAGTTGGCAAGAAATAGATTTAACAAATCATGGGCGAGGTAGGGTAGAGTAAATAGAATCTATTGATAAATTGGATTGAGTGGATAAAGTGATGGATGAGTGACTTGAGTTTGTTTTCTTAACAGCTTTATTAAGATAGAATTCACATAAAACCATTTTGAAGGACATAGTTTAGTAGTTTTACAGTTATCACAGGCTTGTGCAACCGTTACCACATCTAATTCAGAACATTTTCATGATCACTCCTACATTTTTGAAATAGCAGTTGAGTATATGATGGTAACAATAAAATGGGGGCAGAGCAAGTGTGAAAAGATAGAAGTTTGTTTTTTAGGCATCTTAAAGAGAAGGTGTTATCAAGAAGGTAATTTCAATATCAAGATGTGATCAAGATCAAGGTGGTGTAACATAGGGAGAATATATTGGGTAGAGTAAGAAGAGAAGGCAAAGCCTCGAGGAACTAAATAAGCATATTTACCCAATATCCTTTTCTACTCTTCGGTGGAAGGTTGATGAAGGCTTTTTGTTTAGGTTGAGAGATGGTGGAGCATATTTGTTTGCTGTGGTAATGATGTCAAAGAGGAGTTTTACAGTAAGGAAACTGTAAACATGAAAGCAAATTAGTAAATTGAATGGAATCCCAAATACACTTTGAGAGAAAGGAGGACCATTCCTTACTTGCATTTGGAAGCAAGGATAAGGTGGTTTTAGACATGAGTGATATATAGATTAGGTACAGGAAGATGGGACAGAGGGCTTCCTATTTCAGTGCTTTCTCAGTGAAGTATAACAGATAAAAACCATTCCTGATGAAGGGAAGTTGGAAACTGTGAGAATTGTGGAGATGATAAGAAATATCCATGGAAAGTGAGAGGTTACTAAAGAAACAGGATTGTAGGACAAAAAATGCACAGTGTTGTTAGCAACCATGTCCATCAAATGATAAATGGATAAATAAAATATAGTTTATCCATACAATAGAATATTATCAGCATTTTAAAAGAAATGAAATACTGATACATGCTAAAAAATGGGTGAACCTTGGAAACATTATGCTAATAGAAAGAAGCCAGTCACGAAAGGTCATTTGTATGAAATGTCCAGAATAGACAAATTTATAGAAATAAAGTAAATTAGTGGTTTTTTAAGGCTGCAGAAAAGCCGAAAGTGAATAGTGGGAGAAAATGGCTAATGAGTGATGAAAATGCCCTGAAACTGATAAGGTGATGATCGTACAGTTCTGTGAATGTTAAAAGCCATTGAATTGTACACTTTAAATTGGTGAGTTGTGTAGGAATTACATCTCAGTAAAGCTGTATAAAAAAGTATATGTTCCTTATAGAAAATTGCAAACATACGGAAAGTATTGTGGGAGAAAAAAATAACCCCATAACTCCAGAACTTAGAGATAGCCACTGTTTACACTTTGGTCTCTATTCTGTGGCCGTTTTCTGTAGTCTTTACACTTAATTACATGATAAGTTATCTTTATGTAACAAAGCATTTGTTTTAAACTTCTTTTAACTAATTTTTGTTTGTTTGTTTCTTCCCAGAGCCAAATGTTCTAGCTGGCACTTTAGTTGCTCATACAGATGCCGTCTGGGGTCTTGCTTATAGTGGCATAAAAAATCAATTACTGTCTTGTTCAGCAGATGGCACCGTTAGGTTATGGAATCCACAAGAAAAATTGCCTTGTATTTGCACTTACAATGGAGACAAGGGTAAGTGAATTTTTCCTTTACAAGAGAAGCTGTGTATTTTTTAAATTTGGAAGATAAAAAGGACAAAGCAGTTGATTTAGTATTTCTTTGCTGCTGCGAAAGCATTTGAAATTGAAAGAATTTTTAAAAACTTGCTATAATCTTTTTATACCTACTCATTTTTTATAAAAAGAAAGGTGCTGTGCAAGTAAATCCTATAGGTGAGTGCTTTTTGGCCTTTTCAAGACATGTCATACTTTAAAAATAAAACTATTTGTAGCAGTGGAGTAGATAGACGAGGTTGCTCATTGGGATAGCATAAGGCCCTCCACTTACTCCAGGTAACTACCTGCAAAGACTGGAGGAATAGCAGTCTTAACATACCTGTAAGTCACATATGAGCACACTGGTTTTGAGATGTGTAGCCATAGTCATTGAAATAACACCCTTCACTGGGAAGTACAGTTACATGAACAGTTTTATGTAAATCTTTTTCTGTCAAACAGGTTTCAACCAGTTTACCTTCTGATGACATTTATTTATGTACATACGTTTATATACTTGGTTTGGCTATATTTTGCAAGTCATTTTTTTAGTTATTTTTATAAACCAGACCTGTATTTTTCTTTTTACAAGTATGTTTTGTTCTAAAACATTTTAGATGAATAGTATATGCTTTATTTTGCCCTCTTGATACCTTAGTGATTCTACTAATTTTTCAATTACCCAGCCTTTAAGGTAAAAAATTCATTTAGATATTTGTTCCTTGCTTTATCTGAGTAATTAATTGCTTGATTCCAGATTTCTCCTAGCCATGGATTGATCTAGCCATTTGAATTTAATGTGTTTAAAAGAGAAATTGCTGCACAGGTCACTTTAGAATAGCACTGCACCAGTGGCTTCCAGAGTCCTAACTTCATTTTCACAGATCCAGAAATTCTATTTGTACTATCTACTTGATAAGGCTCACACATCTCAAGCATATGAATAGTCTTCCAAGACAATGATGTGAGAATGCTAATTTATCATTTTTTACAGTGAGAAATACATTTGGCAGTTAGGTCAAAACAGGATTTTTTCTCTCAGAATAAGATGCACAGGAAGACAAGTAACTTTTGCATATATCTCCTCTTACTTTAAGAGCCCTGTAACTATATTTTTCTTACAATGTTGAATAGAATGTTAGAAAAACTTCATAAATAATGGAGTGAATGTTAGCTATTATATCTCACTGTTATATACTTAATTATATCTCATACAATTGCTGTCTTTTTCATTATTTCAGAATACTTGAATTCCTTTTTTTTTTTGTATCACTTATAGGATTTACTTGCACAGCACCTTTCTTTT